CTAATATTTAGGCAAATATGTATGTGAGATGTCTGAAAATCACTCAGGTACATTATTACATGTGAATACTGTATTGTTATTAGTACCGAGGCCCAGAGTTACTGTATACCTGTTTTAACAGGGGGGAACCAAATATCCTGGATGTCAGGAAATAATGTTTCTCCTAATATTTAGGCAAATATGTATGTGAGATGTTTGAAAATCACTCAGGTACATTATTACATACATGTGTGAATACAGTAGATCGTCACGCATAATATAGTCTTATAAGCAATACTATACCGTTTCCATCAAGAAATATCTCTATCCAGCGAATTAAATACTTTCATTTATTATCTGTAAAAACAAAAAACATGTGATGTTTTAAAATATATGGCTTGTTTACCTCAAAAGCTTCGTAGAAAGACATGAAAACAACAGTGAAACCGTGTACAAATCAGCGCGCGACAGGAGAAACAAAGGGAAACCTATGGCGTTAAATTAGTGCCAAAACTCACGCGCGTATGCGCTCGCGAGCAGAAAACCCATGCTCTCTACGCGCTCGCGTTTGCACAGCACTCGCTCGCTCGCTCGCTCGGCGTTAAATTAATGCCAAAAGTCAAACCAGGCGCGCGTGTGCGCTCGCGAGCTGAAAACCCATCCTCTTTATGCGCTCGCGTTCGCTGGACCCTATGTACGCGCTGGCGTCTGCACAGCACTCGCTCGCTCGACAGGATGAATTTTGACCTTTGATTGGTTTTTTAAAATGTTGACTACGATTGGCAATTTGCTTTGGTAGAAGATGAAGATAACTTGTCACTGACCGATTATTTTTGTCTGTAATAGTTACTAATTATTATATTGCATCCACTTAAAGTGCAATGGAACAACAACTAAGGGGTTAATAGTTCTAAAACAAAATGGGACAGCCATGTCATATGGAGTATGCTTTCATCAGTGGACTCTGAGTGACCCCTTGGATTTTCAAGATCACTTTAAATGTGACGAAACACGTAATCAAACAATTCAACTGCGGTACATTTGCTTTGTCCCACGGTGCATTGCCTAAATCACACTTTACAACTTATTTATGGATTAATTTGTGTTATCAATTAACTGTTAATATGGATGAAATTGAGCAATGGCATGTAATATGCATACAGTGTGTTAATAACTGTTAGAGAGAAAGGTATTCTGAAAATCCAAGGGGTGTGCATTGTTCCCTGTAGTCCACTGATCAAAGCACACTCCACTAGATGTGCCTGTCTTGTCTAGTTTTAAAGTTACTAACCCATTCATCTATTGTCCCATTGCACATTATACGGATACATTCGAACATTAAGAAATTAATTAAAATTCGTACGTAAAGCAATATGGGAAACAAAGGGGTGTGCAACAGTCGCCATATGAGCCCAAAATGCTAACCACCATGTAATTACAGCTGAAAGAACATATAATATTAGCTATTAACACGATTTTGCACAAATCACGAAATGGTTTACAGCGCAAAAATAATCGGTGTGCATCGTTGTCTATGTACTGGACATCACGATTCTGTCATTAAAAACGCCCAACCTTCCGTTAAAAGTTATTAAAGCCATAAAACTGAATATCGAATATGAGGCTAA